GAGCAGTTTTGATGTGAATCCACTCCTCATTTATAATATCTTTAGTTCGTTTTAGAAAACGTATTTAATCAAATGTGTTTTTGGGACAATGGACATTCTGTAGATATACATCCATCAAATCTGCTTTTTATGTGAATCCACTGCTCAGGCATCCCCATTTATGATATCTTTAGTTCGTTAAAGAAAATTGCTTTAATCAAATGTGTTTTGTTGACATTCTGTAGATATACATCCATTAAATCTGAATATATTATTAACACGCTTTAAATATCTGGATGCAATGGACTTGGTGTAGAAACTTCTAGGTACACACTCTTAGCAACCCATATATGTTTTAATGACATTAAGGCATATACTTTATTCAGCTCGACGTAAGGCGTAGAATGAATAGATACAGTTGGTTTAACATGTATGTAGATATTCATTATCTGTATTGCATATATAGAACCTTTCGGTTGAATCATATCATAAAAATATCTTGTTTCAATAATAAGATAAAGACAAAATACCGGCACGTGAAAATATTGATTTTGATCGAAATTGAGATTTTAACAAAAATGAGTCTGTAAATATACTGCCTATCGACACAAAAGATCAAAATGGCAATAAAACATTCTAAAATACCTGTATTTGAACGTTTTGTAAGAGTACCGTATTCTTAAATCTGTCCTATTTCTTAAAATTCTCGGCGAAATTAGTTATTTTTCTTCGATCGCAGCGGGACGACCGGTCATTCTTCTTGCATAATAATTGGCATCGTTGTAAAGCGGGGCATCTCTAGTTTACAAATATGATGAAAATATTGTCGATGAATTGATTTTGAACGGATACAATCGAGTTTTAAAACCCCTACAAAATATAAATAAACTCCGTCTGTTACCATGCTGTCTACACAACTCGTTTGCTGATTGGCCGAGACACCGCGTGTAAGGCATTATCGATAAATATTTGGTTTGGGCGATAATGTTTTTGGGTACCTACATGCGATTCACTCTGATAAGTGGCAGAAAAAAAAAAAATTCTGATCGTATATAGATTGCCGTTGAGTATTAATCGAAACCACGTGGCTGATTATGTAAATTAATTGACAAGCGGGTTTGTGTCATTGAGTAATACTATTACTAATCAACTGTCACGGGTCAATGATAAAGTCGTCGACAACTCATTATTTACTTCGAATAATTAATCCTAGTGGTGATTATTTGATATCTCATATCATCTTTAAAAAAATAATCTATAGGCTTTAAATTTTATTGATAGATGAATTCCGTTTACTGTCTTTTCTTCAAACGGCATGCAAAGTAAGCAATGCATCTTGGATATTATTGTTTGAAATTCTCTTATCATCATGGGTCGAAAAAATGAGAACGACCAACGAGCCGAAATACGACGATTCTCGATTCTGCCATTGAGTATCCTCTGAATAATGTTGATATTTACATCAAAGCCAAAATGCACGAAAGTGAACTAAGCATTTCTTGACTATGAAATTGACATTTCTATAGGTAGACCATGTGATAGATCTCAGATTTTGGAGTATCATTACCAATTTGATGAATAGATTTAACCATGATATTCAGTTAGCCTGGTGTCCAAAGTGTTTAAAATGGGTTGTTGGACTTCCGGGTCACTTTGCCAAATGTCAGTTTGGCGGCCATCTTTAAAAATGGGCGCCATTTTTTGTTTGAAATGGTGCAAGTCAGGGCAATCCTCATAACTCGCAACCGATTCGCCTAATGATATGGAATATGGTTCAAAATGTTCATAAAACAATTCTACACATGTTGTTGAATAAATCAGATTTTTTTCCAAATCAACAGATTATTCTAAAAATACAGCGTTTTTTATATTTTTTTTCAATATTTATTTTATAAGTTACAATGTATAAGCTCAGTAGCGCTCTCTGTACAGCGGTGGCCGCAAACTTAACACTTAAGTCTTGAGTAGACTTTCAATCAATGATGAACAACCCAATCTGTGAATTTCCACCATATTTAGTTCCTCTCATGGAGAATTCAAGTAAAGTTGAGATTTTCATGCAGATGCCGCGTTCCTAGGGTATGTTTCTATGTAGTCATAGGCACCTGAAGCAAACTATGACATCATAATCTATTATGACATCACAACTAGCAATGCACTAACTAGAAACGAACCAATTGAATTTTTCAATTTGCTGTGACAAGATCCTGTTCTGGACAACAAACTGTCGTCACCATGGCTGATTTTCCTAAACGGCGGAAACTTGACCAGGTTTCATATTTGATCTGTGGTGAGCATGTTTCATCAGATGAACTTGTTAAACCAAAAGATGCAGATTCCTGGCATACACTCTGTGACTCTGCAAAGACTAGGCTATTCGACCCGATCTTGACTTTAAAAATAGACGATCCAACTAATAATATACCAAATGTGTTTTACCAACGTGAATGCAGATCAAGGTTCACTCACAAGAAAGAACTGTTAAGATTCAAGAAGCTCGCTGATGACGAGGGAAAAGAATCTGCAACACAAAGGAAATCATAACGTCAAGGCACATCAGAAACCACTTGTGTATATGATAGAGTATGTGTCTTCTGTGAATGCAGAAACAAATGTTTAAAAGGTATATCAACTCGAGAATCGTTGATTCAAGCAATAGAACTCCGGCCTGACATGACACTTCGAGCTGTCGCGACAATTTGAGCTGTCGCAACCGAAAAAAAATGACAAAAAGATGTTAGCAATTACCTCGAGAGATATAGTAGCAGCTATAAAATTGCAGAGGCTAAAGCTTTGCAAATGTTGTACAGGTATATCCGCCTCAATCTGTTTTCAAACCCTCGTATTGTCCCACTGGGAGACGTTACTTCAAAGCTAGTTTCCCTGTTACAGGATGAAGGCATAGATGAAATTAAACCATCAACTAAAACTCATATCCGTAGAAACATTGAGCCTGAATTTGGTGACACTTTGCACTTCTTCTCCACTGGTACTAGTAACCATGTTTACGTTATACCAAACTACCTTTCAGCAGATGCCATTGCTTGTGACTATATAAATGTGAAGGACAAACTTGAAACATACAAACACAGTCAACAATTTGAACAACTGATTGTTCAGGTTGCTCAAATAATACGAGATAAAATTTCAGAATGTGTAAAAGTTCATGCCAGGCCGCCTTGTCCACAGGAGTTGACTGAAGACCATGTTCAACTTCCTGATTGTCTTGAACTGTTCTTAAACGTGCTTATTGGTGGTAATCAGACTGTTACCTCTGATAAAGCCCACCGGCTGACACTATCTTTCGGTCAAGACATCGTTAGTGCAGTTACAAATGCTCGTGTTCTAACTCCGAAGCATATCCTCCTTCCATGGGCTATCAAGGCTTTGACCGGAAATGTTGAACTCATTAAGATATTGAACCGCCTTGGTCACACATGTTCTTATACATGATTACAGGAGATAGATACAGTCTTATGTGTGGAAAAGATTAGCAGTATAGATGAAAACAAACCCGCACTTTCCTCATGGGCACATACATGCATCCCAACTGTCCTCGCCTTTGACAACATTGACAGGCAGGAGGAAACACTAAGTGGTGGAGGCACATCGCATCGTGTTAATGGTGTTCTTATTCAACCACAAACTCTCTCCTGTGCACCAGAGAGAAAATCAACTGTCAACAAAAAGAAGAAACGGTATTCTTTGGAACTATCTGAGCAACAACTACCCATTTATATTTCAACCAAAAGGACAGGTCCTCCAGTGCTGATGTCTGCCAACCTGTCAGTACGCCTGTCTGATGCATCCAAGAGGGCGACGCAGAAAAATTTCCTATGGATAATCACCAGACTGCATAACACTGTCAACCAAACAGCTCTTGGACTGGATTCAATATCAAAACGAGAGACAATATAGCCGTAAAGCCTGACAAGGTTGGGTACTTGCCCACAATCAATTCGCCAGCGACAGAACTAAAGACTGTTCAAGAGATCCTTTCGCAGTCTGTTTCCATTCAAGAGCAACTAGGCCTGAACAAGATTGCTGTTGTTATGGACCAGGCTCTGTATGCTAAGGCAACGGAGGTGGCCTGGAAACAACAAATTAAATATGAGAATATACTCCTGATGATTGGTAATTTCCACGTTATTTGAAATATGATGTCAATTATTGGGAAATTATTCAGAGATGCCGGACTTCGGGACCTAGCGGTCGAAGCTCGGGTAATAGCCGAGGGTTCAATAAATAAAGTTTTAGATGGAAAGCAGTATAATAGAGTTGTTAGTCTGCACAAACTAACTTACGAAGCGCTGATGAGACTTGTATGGAAGGGATTTGTTGAATGGTTAGACAAATACGACCTGCCACACCTAGAGGTAACATTGTGTGTTGTGATGGCTATGCATGAAATGTACTACGAATAACGACTCTTGCCAGAAGATACTCCATCTACTAGGTTGCTACCTGGATGTTTTGCGGCATGACAGTGGACATTTGGCAGCCTTTTGGATGATGTATCTTGACATGGTTGATATACTGGTGGGGCTCATTCGCGCAGATCGTGAAGGTGACTGGTACCTACATTTATCCAGTGTTAGAAACATGATTAGACAAGACGAACTACGCTCGTTACTTACCAGTATACCGTATACTATGCACAGATGACAAGATTAGAGGAGACATGTCCAGACCTCCATGCTCACTTTCTAAATGGTGGTTTTCCGTTCAGAAACTGTAGAAACATGCAGGATGAAAATGGGGTGCAGTCAGATGATATTGGTGACAGTGACAGTACATGACCAAGGCTAAATTTCGTGTAAAGTAGGATAAATACACAAGCCGCAAAATGGAATCAAATAAAGTCAATTATTTCAATGTAAGGGTTGTTGCTGGTGTCTAGTAAATCACTTTAGTTGACCAAATAGATAATTCGGTTTATATGTGTCAGAACATGATTTTGTAGTTAAAGAATAAATATTGAAAAAAACATACCAAAAACGCTGTATTTTTAAAATAATCTGTTGATTTTGAAAAAAAAATGATTTATTCAACAACATGTATCATATACCAACAGATGTAGAATTGTTTTATGAACATTTTGAGCCATATTCCATATCAATAGGCGAATCGGTTGCGGAGTTATGAGGATTTCCCTGACTTGCACCATTTCAAACAAAAAATGGCAGCCATTTTTAAAGATGGCGCCAAACTGACATTTGGCAAAGTGACCCGGAGGTCCATCAACAATTTTAAACACTTTGGACACCAGGCTAACTGAAAATCATGGTTAAATCTATTCATCAAATTGGTAATGAAAATCTGTCTGTCACATGGACTAAGGGACTCATATTTTGATAACGTCACGGTACCTGAAAATAATAATAATAGACTGTTTTATTACGTTTTCAAGGTCAGAGACCAATAGAACATACATACAATGTGCACAATTGTCATAAACTTTGATATAATGAGTTACTATACTAGGTATGTCTTAATAATTAAAGATATTAATATAATAAAATATCAATCAATTCTTCGAGGTAAAGTGAAAATATAAAAGGAAACGTGCAATATGATACGTATTTGCAGTAATTCAGGTTTAGAGTGTATACTATACAGGGACAATGTGACTGCATTGGGTGGCCTTTTTCTTTCTGGAGGCAAAATAGATAAACTTTGCAACATCTCTCAAAACTGTCATGGATTTAGTTGACATAAGAATCCCAAGGTTTTGTTGTGAGGTTGCTTTTAGATGTTTGTTGATAAAAGTAGATCTAAGGTTACTGTATAGGGGACAGCTGGACATAAAATGTGATTCGTTTTCAATTTGGTTCATGTCACATGACTTACATGTCCTATCTTTCTCAGTCAGACCTACCCACTTGCCTCTAATACACAGGAGATCTTGTGCTGAGCATCTAAATTTGCATAAGGCTTGACTGAATTTGTCATAGTTGTGTAGATACCTTTCTACTTCTAGAATTGTCTTATATACATAATAGTTATCAAGTAGAGAGTTATTTTGTACATTAATACGCCATTCTTGGGTACAACAGTCACTTATTCTCTGTTTAAATAGACTAATAAAATATTCTTTGTTACCAACAGATTGGTTTATCCAGACATACCCAAAGCCGTATCGAAATAAAAGATTCTTAACATGTGTAGCCCAATTACATCTACCACTTTTATCTAGCCGATATAACATTATATAAACATGTTTTGGTAATCTGCACTCATTCCTTTCTAATAGGCTAGACAAGCCCAATATTTAATACATTTAATACTATATGTACAGAATAGTGGTTTTCGCCCACTTTCCCCAAGGACCGCATTGCATGCATACTTTGGCAATTTTAAAATATACTTTAAGTAATTTATTTGAACATTCTCTATGTTTTGTTGATAACTGTGGCCCCAGATTTCAGACCCGTACGTCAAGATTGGTGATCATCATTTTATAAAATATTTCTAAAGCTGTATTAATCGTGATACCATTCATTTTCCTGCTCAGACATTTGACTATAGAAAGCGCTTTGTTTGTTTGGGATTTAAGTGTATCTAGTGCTTTGGTCCAGACTAACTTGGATGTAAACACCAAACCCAGGTATTTATAATTATTGACATATTCAATAGGATCTCCAGAAAACGACCATTTTTCATATCTTCTTAGCGGACCCCCGTTTCTGAAAACCATTACCTTTGTTTTACTTTTGTTAACAGACATGCCAAATTTACTACAAAATAGTTCTACACTATTTAATTGTTTCTGGAGATTACCTGCTGTATCAGCAATATTACTTATATCGTCTGCAAACAAAAGTGAGAAAACGTTGTCATAATTTTCAGAGACGAACACACCCTGGCAGCCTAGGTTTTCTAATTCGGATACAAATTGGTCTATGAACAGTGAGAACATTACCGGGCTTAAAATACACCCTTGTCGAGTACCTATGCAGCACGGAAAGGTTTCAGTTACACCATGTTCTGTTTTTATACACGATTTGCAGTTATGGTATATATTCCTTAATATATTCAGAATACCACAGTTTATTAGACAAGACCACAGATATTCATGTCTGACACAATCAAATGCCCAACGGAAGTCAATAAATAGGCAGTACAAGCGGCCGCCTTTTTTGGAAAAGTATTTGCTCACAAGTCCCTGTAGACTAAATATGTGGTCAATGGTTCTGTATCTCTTTCTGAAACCCGCCTGGTTTTCTGAAATCTTATTGAGGTCATCACACCAATTGCTGGGTCTCTTATTCAGGACTTTTGTGAATAGTTTACTAATTACTGGTAGTAATGATATGCCCCTGTAATTCTCAACACAGTTCCTTTGTCCTTTCTTATATACAGATCATCGCGGTACCCCATTCTGCTGGAAATGTGCCTAAATCGAAAATTTTATTAAAGATTATATTAAGAATTGGGACAAGTATTATTCTTGCTTCTTTGATCAATTCAATGCATATTCCATCAATGTCAGACGGTTTTCCGCTTTTCATATCTGAAAGACAAACATTTATTTCACTGTCATTTATTGGGATGTTAAGTTCTTCAGGCATAGATGAGTCACAGTCCTCACATTTGCACACCATGGGTTGAAACTACATTTGAAATACCTTGATTTTCGGGTTCAGAGTCGCAATAGAAAAATCTCCTAAAATATTCTAACCAGTGGTCTGCTTTAATAGGAGGGGGATTTGGATGTAGATTAACAACACGTTTAATATTTCGCCAAAACCTACATGGGTCTCCAATACTCGATGCGATCGAACTTTGTAGTTGAAGGGCGTGTAATTGTTTTTTGTTATCGCATACACTTTTAAATTTCGCACGCAATCCAAAATATACATCCAGGTCCGATTTTAGATTAGTTCTTCGAAAAATATTTATTGAATCATACTTATTTTGTTTCAGCTTTTTACATTCCTGATCAAACCATGCAGGTTGTTCTGATTGTTGATATCTGATAGTTCTCTTTCTAAGCATATGTGTCTCTGTCGCTCTGTAAATAATATCGTTGAGAATATGTACAACTGAGTCTACACTTAAAGACGTGTCACTGTGTATTTTCTTAAACTGTTCAGTTGAATAATCATCCTTGAACAGGTCTATATATCTTTTCTGGTTAATTGTATTCCAATTTATTTTGCGATATTGTAAACACGTATAATTGTCTGTATCACATTCTATACGTTGAGCCTTGTTCGATGTGTTTAGATTAATAATACATTTGATAGGAAAGTGATCAGACCTATCTAAATTGAGAACAGAGAAATCTGCAATATATTGGAATAAAGATGTTGATATGGCAATGTAGTCTACAGCACTCTTACCTCTATTTGCGAAGCATGTATAATTCCCTTCTCTATCACCAGGGAACCTGCCATTTAATAGATGGATTCCATACGTCTTCATTAAATCTATCAATTGGCGTCCATAATTATTAATCTCTTTATCAAGATTGTGTCTACGAATGTTAAAAATATTTGGTTCGTATATTTCTACATCTTGGATATAACGTAAACTATCATTCTCCACATAATCTTCTAGATCGCCCGTCCTACCGTTGAAATCACCGGCCAATATAATATCTACAAGTCCATAATAAGTACGAATTTCTATAAGTACATCTTTTAACACACTCATTGTATCCTGTTCTCGCCCATTATAATATTCAGAGTTCTCGGGGGATATATACACACATATAAGAACAACGTCACTATCTAGGTTGCAGAAGATTTTGTCGAGAAATAAGACAATCATATCATCCAGGTCACTGAATATGCGTCGTATACCTGAAGCAAGACATTTGGCCACAAACACCAATATTCCTCCATGTTTTCCTTTCTCAAGACAACATTGATAAAATATGTGCGAGTCCACAACATTCTCAAGTTCTAAACAACAAGTGTCATAAATCCAAGATTCACTGATTTCAATGATTCCAGATGAGGATATAAGATTAATAACTTCCGTATTATCGATATGCCTTAGGAAGCTACGACAGTTCCAGAATATAATCTCTAATTTGAAATCACCGCAGTTTGGATATGTTGACGTATTTGGTTTCCTGGGTAATTTTTGTTGCTATCTTGAACTGAGTGATATCAGTGTATTGGTTTCCAGGTCAATGGTGAACGGTTCGCTGTTAATTATCAGTTTGTCGTAGCTCAGACGTGCCTTCTTATTCCCCTTTGTTTTAGCATGGACTAAGGAAGGTATTAATGCTTTTCGAACTGTTCTCACTTTTTCGGAAAAGTCCCCAGACACAGATATGTTACAGTCTATGAGCTCCTTTTTAGCTTTAGTGAGTATTTCATCTCTGACACCAAGGCTTGTGAACATTACTAACAATGGTCTTGGTCGGGATTGTGAGCTCTTTTTTCTACCTATTCTATAGATTCTTTCAAATTTTACTTCTGATTTGTCATCGGCTCTTTCAATTTTCACCTCACCTTTGAGAACTTCTCTTATCAACTTATCCGAGTCTTCTTTTGTTTCCAGGTCACCACATTCCTCTAAACCATAAAAAAATTAAGTTATTCCGTCGAGCCCTGTTTTCGAAGTTATCCATTCTTTTATTCAATTTTTCATTCTCCGTTTTTAAATCTTTCACATCTCTTTTAATTTCTATAACTTCTTCTTTGATATTTAGTTCATTTACTTGGTTTTTAAGTTCGGCGATGTCACTTTTGAGAGACCGGAACATAGCCATTAGGTCGTGTCCTACATTTTCTTTCTCTGGGTAAACAACTTCACCAGTTTTACTGAGGGTGCCTTGTCTGGTATTTGCTGGTCCGGGGCTGCTCTCCACATCACCACACAATATCATAAGAAGCGATAGGACCATAATAATTGAGATTGTTATACTTTGAACACGGACAAACTTTGTGTTGATTTTTTTGTGACAGTTTTATGATGGTACATAAGAATTATCATTCTCCAGGCTACTAAATCCACCTCCATTGTATATAAAACACAGATTCACAGTATGTATATCCAATTTAGTCTTTATAAAGGAATTATGATCTCACTGATGTATCTAAAACATCAAGAAATTTCATAGATTTGCTGTTACGGTTCAGTGAATCTCCTTGCTCTCTGATAAGCGTCCTACCTCAATGACCACTTGTATCCTCTAATAGACCTATCGTACACGCAAAATCTTATTTTAATTCACTTGTTAAATGAACACGCGTACAGCTGTGGTGGCTTCTTTGGTGATTATCCAATCAACAATCTTAATCTCCTGACCACTAGCTGGCACTAAGTTGATAATTAATTGAGTTAATCTCACCAAAGTTATAATATACACAACAGACTACTAATGTATAGATTGTTCTTCAATACAACACTATCATGTGAATATTATGCCGTATGTGTTGTGGATGTTTCGTTACGAAAGGGGTGCATCTATTACGATTTTCGTAGTCAGCACCCTTGACATCCTAAATAAAAAACATTAAACGACAAAATAGCAAATAAATTGCGGAAATACTCGGATCAAATTTTTACTACGATTTTCGTCTTCAGCACCCTTGAAAACCCACGGAAAGATATATTCAACGACAAAACAGCAAATAAAAGGCCTGGTTGCTATGGGATTTTGTTTTGGAACCTACCAAATCTTTGACTTGCTTTTTCTCAAAACTTACTTTTGTGAGTTTGGTAGCTTCTAATGAACACAGCTCAGTCAATTTTTGCCCAATTCAAACAAACTATACATCAAATTGAAGGTGATGAGTTTTCAAAATTTCTTCATTGTGACTCTGTATTATATAGGGGGGGGGGGGGGGCACATTTGTCAACATCAAGGTGAACTTGTTCAGTTGTTCCATTTAGTCAGATTTGTTTATAGTTATTGTTTATAGTTATGAATTTTTAATTCACTTGACTAAACAAAACATTTTGTAGGAATGTAGGCTTTTATAGATTGAACAAAAAGTCGATAAATGTTGACTTGTGTGGAAAATTTGTAACAAATCTCAGACACGATATATACTATTCAAAAAAAGTAGGGGATATTTGATTTTGGGGGCATAATACTAAAATATGCAAATGACTACGAAAAAAGTCACTATAGAACCTAACAGAAGAAACATTTCCAGTTACATGTGACGCCCAAACGCACCAATAGCTACCGCATGGAATGCAGGTGATGCTTGGGATCATCATGGGGGTCCAACCCAAGATTTGCACGACTCTGACTTTGAATGTTACAGTCATTGTGGCATTGAATTCCAGGGTGGAAACATCAGTTTAATTGTTTTAGTGACCAGAAAACAAATTTTGATATGCGTCGGCTTACCCAAAATGAAAGGTTACGTGCCCTTGGCATGCTACAGATCGGCACAACACAGGCGGTTGTGGCGCGGACGATGAATGTTTCTCAGTCTGTCATAAGCAGGCTATGGTCCAGATACCGTGATACACAATCTGTACAGGACAGACCACGCTCAGGTCGACCAAGGGCGACAACTCAAGCCCAGGATCGATTTATCCGTACCTTGGCCTTGAGAAATCGTGTCATCACAGCAAATCAGATCAGCGCTCGTCTTCAAACAGACACTGGTGTGAGAGTGAGTGGCCAGACGATTCGGAATCGACTGCATAGGGGTCACCTTTGCGCCCGACGTCCTCGCGTGATCCCTTGTTTGAGAGATCATCACATTCAGGCAAGACGTCGTTGGTGTAGGGATCGTCAACACTGGGATAATCGACGCTGGAGCAATGTGATGTTTTCAGATGAGTCAAGGTTCACTGTTGATTTTTTGGACAGACGTAGGAGGGTGTAGCGTCGTCGAAACGAGCGCTTCCAAGACGTTAACGTCATCAGACATGATCGATTTGGGGGTGGTTCTGTTATGGTGTGGGGAGGCATCACTGTTGCTGGAAGAACGGCTTTACATGTTGTTGCAGGGCGTGTTACAGGCCAGTACTACCGGGACAACATCTTGGCAGTCCATGTTGTGGCGTTCGCACGACGTCATGGCCGTGGCAAGATGTCACAGGGCCAGGATCGTTACAGGTTACCTCCAACAACAGAACATCACCACATTACCTTGGCCAGCACTGAGTCCCGACCTCTCCCCCATCGAGCATGTCTGGGACATGCTTGGACAGAGGTTACGTCAACGTCAACAACGTCCTGCCAATGTCCAAGAACTTGCTGCTGCGTTGCAACAGGAATGGGACAATCTGGACCAAAATGACCTTAGACGTCTCATTAGGAGTATGCCACGTCGGATCAATGCTTGTTTGGCAAACAGAGGAGGATTTACCCGTTACTGACTTGGTTGTGATGCTGTGGTAACTTTGCTGTTTGACCCCGGGTATCATTTTACCCTTATAATGGTCAGTCTGTGCCTTACTTAGTCTAACGATCATTTGGAATAAATCGATGAATGTGAACTTCATTTCATTTTGTCATTTGTTTCTTCGTCAGTTTCATTAGGTGACTTTAATAACACTTAAAAATCAGAACAACATGATTTTTTCATTAGAAATTGGGCGCAAATGCCCAAAGGAGTCGGACAAGCTCTAAACCAACTTCGCCCCCTTCATTGGGCCTCTTCAATGTCTGTCTATCTGTGGAATAACATGTATTTATATCTGTTAAATTTGTGTGGTTTATATATTAGACAAATTAATATTATCATTTACACATAGGAGGGGAGTGATAACGTCTTACCCAAACAAATTGCAAAACAAACCAGGAAGTTTTGAAGAGCGATATCTTGCATCACATGACACTGATGAAACATCTGTCCGAAGCACATGTAGCGCTTAGAGCAGAATGGCGTGGCTCTAGATACCTTTTATTTAAATTACACTGATTTTACACTGATTTTAGGGGGGTTGGATTCCCGAATGGTTAGCGCGTGTGCGCTGTATCATAAGGCCTGTCATTGAGTCAACTGGCGTGGTTTCGAATCGCTGGTTGTACGTGACAATGAGTAGGATTGCCGGCCCAACCTCGTGGGTTTTCTCCGGGTCCCCCGGTTTCCCCCCACTGCTAAAGACCCCTACGCGCAGGCGAATTATTGAAATAGAATCGAACCATATGTCCATTTGTGTCGAGTGGACGTTAAACCCCATTCCCCTCTCTCTCTCTCTCTCTCTCTACACTGATTTTAAGTTACACTGATTTTAAATGTTTTATCCATTTGTCAATTGAAAGAAATTTCGATTTTCGAAAAATTTATAATACAATTAATAATCGATGACCGAAATCTGACACACAATCCGGAATGGCTCCAGACCAAAAAGTCATGGTATTTCAGGCACTTATTTTGACGGCTAGAAGGCAAAAAGATTTTATCTCCCAAATTATTATTTAAATTTTGATTTTTCTCTTTACCCCTCTGCACAAAAAAATCTGATTCTTCAAAGCGTAT